TGAGGGGAGAGGGGTGGGGCAACACCTACCTCCTTATTACAGAAGATCAGAAAGTGTTTGACTTTGTCTGCGATACACACCGATAAGGCCTGGTTGATGTCGCCTTTTCGGCTGCTGTGAATCATGTAAGCCCCGTCATAACCGCCCAGTAACCTGAAATCAACCAGACTACTTAACAAAGACGGACTGGCAGAAGGACCGTCGGACGAACGGAGGGCGAAAATAGAGAAAGACTTACGGTATTGCATTGGCCTTAGTGAAGTCAAGACGAAGAGCTGATGATGGCAGAACATTGGCTGGATAAGGTACCTGAGAATCAACAAAACAAGAAAAAAATATCAGTAACTCAAGGAAAAGAATTATTTACTTACAAGCATTATTTACTTCGGTGTCTTTAACTTTGAAGCTGTGCCCATCAGGACGATTTCTAAGAAAAAAAATAAGAACAGAGAATGCGATATTAGAAAACATAATATTATAATAAGTAATACAAGTTGTATCATAAGCAATAAGGGAATAGAACKGTCATTACCTCTGTAAAGTGGATGGTCTTTGAACTTGCTCTTCTGAATTGTCGTTATTTAACTCTAAATACATTTCTTCTGATGATTCTAGCATTATGAAATCAAAYCTGAATCAACTGAATGAATGACATCATCATCACCATCATCATCATTGATCGAAATCTCGATATCACCACAACTATTTCCATCCTCATTACCGTCAGCATGAGTGATAATTATCATTTTTTACCTGATCTGGCTGTTGATGGTTCTGCCATCTTGCGTGGTTTTGGTAAGATTGCAGGCTTGTGAACAGCAAGAGGAGAACCAGCTGTCATGTCACCTGGTCTTTTCCGGACAGGAGGTTTAGGAGGTTGTGAACCTAGAATTCTTGCCATATTAGTTGCAGCTTGGTTGGCTCCAGGAGGTCGTTTACCTATTACTCTTGAAATATCGACAGTCATTTGAGCCATACCAGTGGAGGGTGATGGAGCTTCAACCATGAAAGGTTTAGGTGGAAAAACGTTAGGTTTAACAGATGAACCAAAAATRTCTGAAGGAGGGCAATATGCAGCTTCAGATGATGATGATGCTATTTGGACACTATTCCGAGACTCTTTGATCATTTTTTGCTTTAGTACATCAAAATCCTCTGGTGCAACCAGTGGGTAGTCATATTTTTCATCGTTCTCTTCACTGCTGCTGTCCGTCGTGTGATGAGGTCTGAGAAAGAAGTGAATAAATCAATACTTGACCATGTTATTACTGGCTTTTYGCAAGAAATGCCTTTATGTAGACAGCTGCTGCATAGATGGAAAATGAGAAACTTTCAGGTCTAGTRTGGTCAGTATCAAGATCTCAAACGAACGGTTGATAAAGGGTTTATGTCTCCTACAGTACGTAAAATACATGGGTCACGTTTGCTGTATGGCGAACTGTGCACTGCAGAAGCAGGTGCTTTTTGATAGACTAACAATTGAACATATACTTGGGGTGGATAGGACRCAAGCAAGAAGAGCACTGATGGACACTAAGAAGCTACCCCGGCTGTTCGAGGCACGCTKCACTCTAGACCAACAAGCCGAGCGCAGGCTAGGGGAAGACTGATGATGATGATAATGCATAAGAATCCTTCTAAAATGGCATTGGTATGGATCATTCTATTCATAACAGTCTTTGATTGTTATATAAGTTAACAATTTAGTCACTGTGAGCAGTGTTCATAGAGCGGATTTCGTATGAGTGGGACACCGTTACCGCACAGTTACCGCACCTGGCCTGCAGAATTTTGGTGAAACAATGGGGCACTAGAATTTGGTTACAGTACGATTACGGACACAGTACAGTACCGTCCGTTTCCCACTCATACGAAATCCGCTCTAATACCAGGAACAGTCAGGCATTAAAACAAATCAAGTCACTGAAACAGACTGAGGTCATAGGTAAACATTATTGCACCTCTGTCTAAGCCAAAAATTGTACAAATCTCAAAGAAATATTCAGATTAGACTTATAACAAGTTACAATAATAACCTGTAGCATCATAATCACTACAACTAAATTCACCTATTTTATATAATTTATTTAAGAAATATAAAACGAYGCACATGTCTCTGTCCTGTGATATAAACACGGTGGGAGTTGAAAAACATGAGAGAAGCATGATTAGAAACACGAGTGTAGCTTCTCGAGTTCTTTTCTTTTTCTGCRTTTTCGAAYGAAAATTCAAATTTTGCTGGTAAGCTGACGTCTCTGTCTTCTGATATAAACACGGTCATCAGCCAATCAGAGCGGGCRTTTTATATMAAACATTTTATGCATTATTATACAAAAGTTCACCTTCTGATTTCACAATATTGAGAGATATCTTCCTGTATCTTCTCTATCCATTCCTACAACCAGACATCAGTATGGTCATCAAATACATTATTTATTAAAGATATCATGATCAGAATTTGAGGATTGAGTTTGCACTAATTTACACTACATATCACCCCATGACAAGGAGTTTGGAATCTGATAAAATTTTGGCTCTGAGAATCCGGAATGCAAATGCTTAGATTAATCTGTTGGAATGGAAACAGAATCTGATAAACAAGGGGAATCCCGAATTAAAATTAYTTMCTTTTTMTGTTTCCTAAAATAGCTACAATGTTTTGCATTCTGAATCCAATATAGTAAAATCCAGAATCCTGGAGCATGGAATTCAGAATCGAGGAATGCTGCAGATTCCGTGTCATGAGGCAATGCATAGTAATATTTATTCGGTATCAGGGGATTGACATGCAAAAGTTGTATGCATGCTATTAATTTACATATTATTTCCAATTGGGTTATTGCTATGGTTTTGGACTAAACAGTTAATGTTCTACTGACTAGTGTATTGGTCAGTTTGAACAATGTTGACTATATTCCACTTTGTTTAGGAGTTATTATTTTATTAGATTTGGACTTATTATTCTATTATTATTAATGTTGTCTATTCCACTTTGTTTATTAGGAGTATTATTATTCAAAGCTACATTACTCACAAACAATGACAAGTCCAAATCTAATAGAATGACATCTGTCAATCATTAACAATAAATATTTCAAGCTTACATTAAGTTCTTTTTCYGAGTGAGCAGCAAAGTAGTAAGACCTCTTCTCAGGCTGAATGTGCTTCAATCTAAATGTCCATTCATACTTAGTTTTCTCYGGTGCTTTACACAAACTACAGAAACACACATAAAGCAATCAGAAAGTCAGYATGTGATGAGGTATTGAATTTGTTCCATAAAATATGGATAAAAAGAGAGCAGTGTATTCATGTAATTTAATAGTTGATTTGTGAATATTAGTAAGATTCTTACCATGGCCAGTCTGAAGGCCAGCTACAGCATGGTCTTAAAATGCAGCGATTATTACTTAATGGTTTGTTATTGGTTGTGTGACTGGCTAGTATTATGACATAAAGATTGTGTGATGCAGTGTTCTGCGTTTTTGCACATGGTGACAATTTAATTTACTATATGTTTACCTGTATCCACTCAAAGAGAACTGCCCTTGTGCTGTCTTATCATTGGAATCTTTATAATAGTACAGGCAGCCCTTATGAAGAACTAAATATCGATCTTGCCCTAAAAATACATTATTGAGAGTGAATGGTCCACTTTCTCACAAGTAACATGCATAACGCTTTATCATTAATAAAATTGACATGTGAAATTTTACATTTCTTTATCTTGTTTTCTTTCCTGACCATTCCACAATGCACACTACAGCTGTCCTTTACAAGAGCCTGGGCTGCTATATCAATGTACGGCTCAGGATGCTTTGATGTCATCACCATGGAAACGCCAGTGTCACTTCTAGGCAGGCTTCCAAATTGATTCATTTGCCAATAAATTCTCTAATGAAAGGTGGATTATCTACTACAAGTCATTTCCTGCAGTGAAAGAAAATAAAGAGATTATTTGAATACATCAATCAGTAATTTTCTTAGAAATGATCKCTGGGGAAGTCAAAATGTCCTCACTCTAGGAATTGACAACATTCAGCTCTTTGGGGCGATCCACTAGAATTTTTTAGGACTTCAGGAGCACGCTTGTAATTTTTTTTGAAGTTTACCGAATTCTATGGTTACCAGACTATTGAGAAGAGAAGTCGGCTCCAGGCCTCCTRTGGCGATATTGGCCAAAAGCTGTTGAAATCTCTTCAAAATTAGGTCATTTTCAACATCGATATTTGGGTTATATTCTAGCTAATATATTCTATTAATAATAATATAATATTATAATAATAATAAATAATAAGGCAATATTCTAGTTTTTTTAGTTTAGAAATATACTTTAATGCTTTCTGAGTGCAAATATGTGGTTCTTTTTGAGGTGAGATGTCAGTTTTTCATCTGTAAATGGTCAATTATTATTTATGATCCAGCTAATAATTGATGAACTGCCAGTCGTCATTACAAAATTATGACATCACACATGACAGAGTTAATTTGATTTGGTTGCATTAAAATAGAATTCAATGATAGGACTGTAGATGTAATTGGAAATCCTGTAATAATATTTGCCTGAACAAGGCACTTCAATGTGATGTGTCAGTCGTTATAAGTGACGTAAGGTTGCCCATTTATTCGCGGTACGACAATGAACGATTCTTGTATAATCCATATATTCACCAACCAAAATGAACTTATGGCTACAGAATTTAGTTTTTCATATTAAATTCTATGTTTTTGGACTAATCGCATGGTCGCTCAGAGACATAACGACAAAGTTATGTCAAAGACAAATACATGTACGTAATATTGCATAAATTTGAATGAGAAAGGAATTTATCAAAGTATCGTCCCTAAACATTGTCAGTTGTAAAATACAGCCTGCTCATTTATACGATATCCGTTTGAAGTAAATTGCCAATAGTATTATTAGATAAACTCTGTGACTGTAACGCAGATGCATGATTTGCAACAACGACATCTGTCGCTGCTACCAGGAAACTGTAGAAATGTATCGATATTTATCAATTGTAGTCGGAGGTCCGGTGAAAAAGAATTCGTAGATTTTCAATAAAACTYAGAGGTGACTTGATTTGCATGGACAAAACATACAGTACACTTGTATTTACATTACAARCTTTGATAAGACTTGAATAATGCCTATAAATACCTTGATCTAAAGTGTTTTGATGAATTCAGAAGTCCAAGGTTTAATAATACGAGGCCATCTGAAGTGCAGTCCCTCTCTATTTATATCCTTTTGTATGYATTAAGATTTTTGAATAATTTAAATGGAATATCGCCTATAATAAAACAAGAAATTGGTTGACTATGTCGTGCAAGGCACAAATGACCCCAAATCGTAACTATTTTTCGCTATTATTTCCGCGCAAGTTCCAAGAACTCTTGTTGAGTTCCGTAATGATCGTTCCGACTGTTTACCGATTCTATGCCGAAGAAGGCATTCCGGAACACACACAGGGCGAGGATTGACGTATGACATCCGGAAATGATGTAGTAACGTTTTTAAGGACGTTCGAGGGCATTGCTACTGCGCACGCTTTCTGCGCACGCCCAAACCGGAAGCTGTCACGAAATTGCATCACGCAAAACAAAGATGGCGACCGCTCTTGTTATGTGTTTGTGTGGTTTTGTACGGACTTTTCTGAACTTCTACTTGAATGAAAAATGTCTTCGTGTTCAAAAAATGAGAGATTTANTGCAAGGCACAAATGACCCCAAATCGTAACTATTTTTCGCTATTATTTCCGCGCAAGTTCCAAGAACTCTTGTTGAGTTCCGTAATGATCGTTCCGACTGTTTACCGATTCTATGCCGAAGAAGGCATTCCGGAACACACACAGGGCGAGGATTGACGTATGACATCCGGAAATGATGTAGTAACGTTTTTAAGGGAAGAGGAAAAAATGAAGAGGAAATATGGTCAATGAGACAAGTTTTCGCCTCTTATTTTACCAAATTAATTATTTTATTTTTCGATTATTTTGTGTCTTTTTCCACTCAAATAGATTGATAAAATGATCATGTCAAAAACAATAATTTTAAATTTTTCAAAATTGCTTCCCTTAGTTTTGAAAAAACACCATATGTTCAATATCTTCTTACATATGCTTTCATGGTTGATCCCAGTACAAATCCTCATAAATTCATACTATTCAACAAAGGATTTGCATTCACCAAATAATAATGCTTATATCTCAGCTATAAATAGTACTGCAAAATTTGGTAAACAGCTAKTAAATATYCAAGGGCATTTACAATTGTAAAAAWGTGATGATAAAAGTGAGTGGCAGATACTCCTTTTATTTATAACTGCTTTCTCAATAAATAATATACAAATAATGTCCACACACCTATAAAGTATAAAAATATCTTCACAATATTGTGTATAGGATAAAATATCCACCTGGTAATAAAGCTGYCACGTTAGAGTATATATACAATCTCTAAGTGTTTATTGTAAATAGACAACRATTTGTAAAATAYAGAATTACAAATAATCTCCACAACTGTTCTTTGATCTTTCATGTAACAAGGAGGACATGGGAGGCTGGATGACAGTGTTGATTTTCTTGGTTGGAAATGTGTCAACAATTTATTATATCAAATATTGTAGAGATTATCTGATACATGTAGACGTTGCCTGATACCAAACCAAGAACACAATTGAGATATTTACAGTGCTTCAAACATTCCATTTTTGAGACAATTTTTCAAAGGAAAATGTTTTTTTAAGAGTGCATTATAGCCTGTGTACATCCGTTTCTCACCCCTCCAAAAAAATCGGGGAGAGAACGACGTTCTCTCCCCGATTTTTTTGGAGGGGTGAGAAACGGATGTACACAGGCTAGTGCATTATTACCAGGAAAATAATAACTCTTATGAGTCTCCTTTATCAGCAAAGTTAAACTATAGACTGTTAACAGGGTAAAAAGGTAGCTGTGGAAGTGATACAGTCTGTATATGTTACATACAGCAGCCTCTCATGTCCCCCTTCTTCACCAAACACACAGAACATTAATTACCAAGKCTATTCTTCTAAACTGACAAGTTTTACATGAGTGCCTGTCCCTCCAAGGGCAATAAGGTTTGACCCTGATGCTATATGTACATCTAGTGCCTGGATTGGTTTTCCTTCTTCTTCAAATGTCTCAATGACCTACGAGAGACAGGTTTAAGACTTTATGATTTTTTTCATGGTAGTTTTCATTAATAGAAGTGGAATAATAATTATAGCTTTTATATTGTGGAAATGAGTATTTTGTAATTACCTTATAAGGTTTTCGAGAGATGACTTTAGTATCATTTGTACCGCTACCTCCAGCAACAACCATCTCACTAGACATAAACCGGCAGCAATACAAGAATTCACCATGTTCTTTAGATGGGAAAGGAATATTCTCTATCAGCCTGCCACTGCCATAATCCCAAACCTAAAATTAAAATACCATTAGAAGTACCCTGGTTCCAGAGGCTTGTCTTTTATTATTTTGCTTACTATGTTATAGAGCCGYGAAGCGGCAAGACGTTTCTGTTAATCRGTTTGTTCTTACGGCAAGTTTCTGGTCACAAGCGYAGTAAATCTCACTTTCACTACTAACTTATAAAAATATACAAGATCAAGTAAATTATGCTTAATGCCTTTGTTGCCACACTATTTAATAGTTGTAGTAATCAGTACCTATTGCTACCACAGTAAAAGCATTAACTCTAGTACCTGCAAAGCATTTTGTGCAAGCCACGAAGAAGTCAGTATGTCATCCTCAGCAATGTCGATGCCATCACCACAAATATATGGACCAGTTATTGACCGCACTACCTGGTCAACTCGCACATCCCAAATCTGGAAACAGATTGAAAATCAACTAATAATGTAAGCACAAACAAAGCAGTCACAGTAGTTCAGTTATACAGCATGATATATGTATGATAGTGTCAAAGATACCTTTAAGCACCTATCCCAGCCTCCTGTTAGAAATATATTGTCATCATAAGGGTGAAACTTAAGGCTGAATACTTTCCTTCCATGACCCATTTCTGGTGCTACAACATTTGTATCTCTATAAAGACATTTCACCTTATCACTATTAATACTTATAAGTTATTATTTTATTTTTCAAGTCAATTTATAGTCCAAAAGTCAGTTCAATGGTCTTCCACAAAAGAATTGAAAACCAGGTTCTGAGAAAATGAAAGAATTATCTAATAGTATGTTTCCCTTTGAGCTTTATCTTCAACTCTTTTATGAGGTCTCTGTTTTAACAAAGTGTATTTTAGTCAGACCTTTACTGGGGTTTGAAGGTCAGTGGACCTTAGTCACCTTGCCTTTGATCATTGAACTTTTTACATCATTACCTGATTTGCAATGCATTGTGGGATCTGWTTCTAGAGAAAACAAAAGAAATCTGCCATGTTCTGTCCCAAACATATCCTACAATGCATTGCATGATTTTAYGKTACATGACGTAAAAGCTGCAGGTCTATTATCTTTCTATTAAATTCAGTAGTAAGTTATGATTAAAAATGGAAACTAATAATAATGTTGCTAATTAAAAGAAGTGTGAGTGCTCTATCAGTGAGTGTTTCGAAAGAAACAATTGTATGAATTAAGATAAATTTGTAAATCATACTTTGGTAGGTAAAAATTCTTATTTCACAATTATCATGGTAGATTAATATATAAAATATAACAAAAGACCTTGGATACATACTGGGAAGTCTCTATATAATTACTGCCTGCAAATGTCAAATTCAGTTGCATTKTATCACTGTCATAAACTCTGATTCTGCGATCCTTAAAAAAAGACAAAATTCCACTTTGAAACACACTGTCAACATTTTCTGCCTACTTAAATTAAAAAAATAAAACTTACCTTTCCTGTTGTGGCAAATATTTTACCATCATGAGAGAAATCCAGTGCACTTATTTCATTATGCATCTCATCAACGGATCTTATAGCACACCAGCCATCTAAATCCCAACATGTGATGGTGCCATCAGAAGCTATGGATTTCAACATAAACATAATTCATAACCTGACATGATACAGACATTTTAGGGCAAGTTACTAAATAATTAATAATTGTGACAGCAAAGACAAGTTAACGATAAAATAACTGATAAAAGAATTGGAGTCAAGCATGCAAATCAATATTAAAGTAACATAATTTATAGCCCTTAGAAGAGATCCAAGCACAATTATCAAATCAATCAATCCAATGAGTGGCCTTATCTAGTCTAATCAACCCTATTGCTTATGCAAGACAAGACTTTGGTGGTATTGGTGGTGCAGTATCCTTCATAACCGGTGTCAAGGAGTGAATGTAAGCAAACAAATAATAAGAAAAACAGAAAGAAAGCTTCCTTCCTTTCATCCATAAAGGATTATTATTAAGTTCAACTTATGCTTACGATATTGTAATATCGTCAATATGCCTTTTACTACAATTTATATACCTCAGCTACAGATGTCAGACAAAGTTGAAATTCATGCCACAATAATTAACTTTATTTATGTTTAAAATTCTCTTTATTCCTTCCCAGTCATGGGCAGCCTGCATGCGAAGATCTTACATTTTTCTTGGATTTTAAAAATCAGAGCAGCCTAATTTTTTAGGTAACACCTTGTGACTTCAGTACGTGCCTTATCAGATAGAATACTAGAAATCACATAGCGGTAATTAATTATTTTGAAAAACGAATGTTCTATCTTAGCATAGGTCTAGATATTTACTTGTTGACATGAGTCTGTTGTCTTTGTAGGGCAGAAACTTGACAGATGTCACAGGAAGACCATACAACGAACCATGCTTCAAAGGTCTTCTCTTTCTTCCTGTGTCGATTGAATAGACCTGAATATTTAATGATTTATTGTAAATGACCATGATATCATATTATATTAGCCTGAAAAGTCTTGGGATTTGATGAGGCACTTTATTGATATTACAGAGAATCAGCTAAAAGGGAGATACAGATCACAACATGGGGTGGCAAGGGTGGTCTGGGGTGGTAAGGGTGGTCTAGTGGTTAAGCTACTGGCCTCTCACCGCTGTGGTCCGGGTTCGATTCCTGGGCACGGACTATATGTGAGTTTGAGTTTGTTTGATKTGTTGTTCTCTCCCTTGCCACGAGGGTTTTTCTCCGGGTCCTCMRGTTTTCCTCCCTCAGTAAAAATCAACATGTGAGGAGTGTTGTGTGCTAAAATAAATAATGTAGAGGTAGTGAGTGTGAGTGTGAGGGCCAMAAGTTCATCAGTTCTTTACTGTCACSTGTTACCCTCGTAAAATAAAGTCGATTTATTTATTTATTTATTTTATTTACATGGCCAATTCATCAATTCCAACTTGTACTACTATAATTTCAGCCATTTATTGGCTATCAAGTCCTGCTTCTCAGGAGGTGATCGTTTTGTACATTCTTGTATTTCATGTACATGATGCTGTTGATTCGCCATATTCTCTACATTTATGACTTGACACAYTAGGTGGTTTTCGATAGATGTTTTTGAGCTGGTTGTAGGTGGTTGTTGAATTTTTTTGAGCTGGATGTAGGTGGTTTTAGGTGGTTGTTCCATGTTTTAGTGCTGACGCACCACCTACATGTATACATGATTGGGTATATTTACCTGCACAGAGCCATTTCCACATCCAGCAGCCATAAACAAAGAATTCTGAGAAAAGTGAAGGCTAAAAATCCCCATAATGTCACCAAAATCTAATTCCTTCATTCCTGAAACCTTTGGGAGGACAGCCGAGGGCTGAGTCCTGATAAAATTAAATCAGCATTGTTACTCACAAGTCAGTCAGTTGACCAACTGATCTAATAAATGCAACATTCATAACCCCTAATATGTCCTCTCTTTTTGTTTGATATGTTTTGAGACAGGGTGAAAATTTACTTGGATCAGCATATAGAGCAGATTTTGTAAGACTTTGCATCCTAGCTGGTAGTGACCCTAAACTGATTCAAGGAACCATCACCACCATGGCATGGTATGGTCACAGCATGCACATACTATCTAATATTCGCTAACCTCCTTTGCAGGCTTCTCACTTTGTCAGTTTACATAAATTTTGGGTTCCCTCCGGAAAATGATAGGGAAGAGAGGAGACTGGGTAAGGGAAAAGAAAAAGAAAAAATAATAATTTTTCCCCTGCCCCAATCCCCTTCAATAGTGTCTGATGCTCAGGTATCTACCCCCTTTTTTCCCCAGACTCATTACTAGTGCCATTGAGCAAGACTGTGGAAGAGTCTAGCTTCTCCTTTGTTGATCTGAGACAGGAAGCCCATTATTTTTAGAAAGGAAAGAGATGCTGTGAAAGGGGGCTAGTTATTTGCATAGTCTTACAAAATCCCCTCTAATTTAGCCTCAAAATAAAAGCTTCATACTTATTCAAGAATTTTCTTTTTGACCAGTTTTCATGTTTCATATTCAGATTGATATCCTGGCTACAAGATGAAATTTCTTTAAACTGTGAGTTGTTAATTAAACGACTTCAAAAGAACACCTGGACTRCTGTTACTATAGTGACCATTCATGCATTATAATGCACACAGAACTGATACATTTACTCATTTTTTTAGTGCATCAATCATTAAATCGTTCATTCTATCAAATGCACCCCTTCTTTTGTTATTTGACGCCATTTCCTTTATTCCTTAAATCATAAAGTCTCAAAACAATATGTGGAGCTAACCTTTATAACCAATAATATAATAATATTCCGTAGAGTTACATTTCTGGTCGAATATCTATCAACCTTTTTTTATCAAAACGAAATGTGTCAAAAACAAATTAAATATAAGAAAAATTGTGTAGAATGAAACACTTGACGTGACGCCGTTTTCAATTTCGGAAAGGCGCCAAAAGTTAATCAATAATATAATAATATTCCTTAGAGTTACATTTTTGGTCGAATATCTATCAACCTTTTTTTTATCAAAACGAAATGTGTCAAAAACAAACTATTATAAGAAAAATTGTGTAGAATGAAACACTTGACGTGACGCCGTTTTCAATTTCGGAAAGGCGCCAAAAGTTTTGACAGCTCACTATTCATGTAATTAAAATAGAATTGATTTCTAAATTGCAATACAAGTAAAATAGAATAATGCAATGAATATTCGCACTTATCTTACTGTATGAATGACTTACTCTTTATTATCATTATCATCTTTGGTCTTCCCTGCCAACAGCGCATCTTCAAGTCGCTTTCTTCCTGACGACATTTTCGCTTTGTAAAATCAAGATTTTGAATAAATTTTCGATCTTTGTTGTCCAGGGTCAAGCCTTAGTATAAAAGTCAGATTTTGATTCAGGATATTTAGGGAACTGYCATGTTTTCGTGATGTTTTTAGGACTYGACAAGAGTTAAGTGATCCCCTTTTCAAGGCGTTTGTGGAAACGAATTGCACCAGTAYCTCTCATTTAGCAAAACACAGGTTACCCAAAATCTAAAATTATGAATGTGTTTTTGCAGGTGCTTTATGCGAGTAAACAATATTGTTCATCAATTTCACGAAAAAATAATAATGACAAGTACCTCTTTTGTTGCTTGAGCTGTCAATATTAAAATTTCTTTCAATTCTTTTCAAAAGGAATTTGTAAAAAAAATTGTAAACACGGATGACAATTTCATGTAGTCKGAGCAATTAATAATAGTGTATGCATATTGTCAAGGACCTGTAATAATAAGGTTTTACAAAATTTCTACAGTATCCTGCTATCATCARAAAGACAAATACTATTTACATGCAAATGTTYAATGGAGTCTGCGTCAGTGATTCAATGGCATACCTACTGGGAGTGAAATTACCAATACAGATCTTTTTGATTTCTAGTAGTTTTACTTGCCATTGATTCATGAAAGATAACAGATAAAAGAGCAGTCAATTTATCGAAAAGAATAAAAAATATACATGTAGTCTATATAAATTGCATACATAAATATATCAGATGTATAACTGCATTACATTCGCTTTGTCGCGATTGGTGTATTTRGACAGGACTCGTCATGTTTACATCACGCCACGCCTCTATGAAGTCGTTCTGTTCATCTCTTTAGTCCGCCAGCTCTTCCTGTATGTTGTACGGAAGTTAGGCTTTGCAACTTCAAGATACCTTTAATCACCTAATTTAACGTTGAACTTTAAGTTTTACAGCCGTGATTCATTCCCAGTGCTTTAGGGAGATCAAATAAGGATTCGCGAAGAGGCCATCGAAGCTTTACCAAGTTCACAACTCGCAAAGGACTTTTGGCACATATGATMATATTTTAAAACAACGAGGAGAGAAAAAATCTACCAAAACTCGGAGATCTCTTATATGGAAAGTGGTTTTATAGAACAAAAGCCCACATGCGTCGTACWCTCAATTTATGGTGGTATTGTTTCATTTGGTAGGCACCCCCACAAATGCTGAATGTACGAGTTGCTCCTTTGAATATGGCGGACGGACACCCACTCAAGAATTCGAGTGATCAACCCACTTATTGTGATACTTCAGTGTTCAGCCCGTCCAAAATCGGACCAGAAGAAAACTGGCCTGCAAAAGTCTTAGCAGCACTGAAAGATTCCGCTCCACCAGAGCCAATTCGTTTAGCATGTATGAGCGCTGTCCCGAGCAAACCTCACTTCTTCGAAGAAGAATTTCATGGCAAACTTACTCGTGAGGAGGTGACCGCACTCTTGCTAGGTGGTACAAGCGAACCAGCAAATGGACGGTTTCTTGTGCGGGAAAGTCTATCAGCTCCCGGTGATTATAGCTTGTCATTGACATATGGTGGTAAAATCACACATTATCGATTGTTCTACACCAATGGAAAGTATTCTACAAGTAAAGATGGAAGCGAGAAAAAGTATGACAAGCTGGTAGAACTAGTCATTGATATTTTAGAAATGCTTCGATATGTGGAAGGAGCCCAAGTTGCCGAGAAAAGAGAGAAAAAGGTTGAAGAGAAAGTCCAAGCACATAGTTTTAAATTGCACCACTACAAACAACCCAAATGGTGTGACATTTGTGGTAAGTTTATGTGGGGGCTTAAAGGCCAAGGAATGAGGTGTGACATATGTGCAATGAATGTTCATCAAAAATGTACCAAAGACGCCATGAAAAAAGAGTGCAAGGCACCACAACCAAAACAAAAGGCAAAACCAACTAAAAAGTTAAGTCATCCTGGTATGGCCCCAAGACACAGCATAACTCCAGAGACTTTTAGAACACAATGTGATTATCAAGAAGGATGTGTTAGATTCCTTCATCACCTTAATATCCCTGTAAATCTCTTTAATGTGAATGCTTTGAACCCATGCTACTGTGATCATTGTTGTCAAGAAGTTGAAGTTCCACTGTACCGACAAGGAGATCCTGCACAGGAATACTCCATTCCTCTTGGCTGGTGCCGGTTTCAATTTGCTTTGGCTGACAAGGTATCTGCCGAAGCACAATCTAAGCTAAATATGGCATTTATGTCTCTTAGTGCACAGAACATAACTGAAGTGTTAGATAAGTTTGGCACAGATGGGCAGGACTCTAGTAATGAAATGCCRAAGCCACTGACAAAATTCACTCCATCAATCATATGTGCCGACCTTGATTCTCCTGTGACCAGGTACACTGACCCAGAAACAGAGGAACGTAGGGCAGGGCAGGTAGTACTCCAAGTGTATGTCCAGCCATATTCCTGTCGACCAATGGGTAGAGCAGGGTCTAAAGAAGAAATAGATCCATATTTTAAAAAGGAGACAATCTATTGGGTCACCAATCAGCTTACAGGTATTGTTCCATTTGCTCTTCTGGTCAAGACAATGGATGCTACATATTTACAGCTCTGAGTTAGTTAGAATTACACTCACTTAACTAGATTTTATGGGGATGTCCTAAATTATACTCTTGTGTTTTTAGAATGTGTAGATAGCTGTGGATTTGGATTGTTGTTACTCTATATTTTGAAGAGTATCTTGGGCTTGGTTTGAAGGTCAAGTTTCCATCAAATTGTATCCTTCAAAAACCCAGGCATTTAGAGTGTTTCAGCAACATAACATGATTCCTTTTAAGACAGCATGTGTTATCAGACGTAGTCATAATATAGCTCATACACTAAAACTGCTTTATTTGTGATTTCACTGACAGCATACTATCAGTGTTTGGACATTTTTTTATGTTTTAGTTTCAGGCAAGAGTAAGAGTAATTCACTTWATTCAAAATATTAATAAGTTCCAAGTACATTTCGAAGAAGTGTCCAAAATCTGATATTTTGTTTTTATTAAATAGTAATTATTGCTAGTTAAAGTTGAAAAGGGAAGATGCTATCAAGTGATGTTATTTGACTGATAGGTCTGATACATAACTATAGCTGGTCATAATTTAGCTAGATTTGTTTTCTTACAACACCYTACCAGTTGATTTTTAATGGGATATGACAGCTTAAATACTASCTCCCTAATGATTGTTTGATTGCTTTTTTATATTTTTCTGTTATTCATTTCTGATCAATCTTATGCAAAGCTAACTGCACAGTTTTCAAAATAGTCTTGATTTTGCCACTAGTTCTTTCTCATGTTTTACAATTTAATAAGTTAATTATTCTTACAGCAGGAGACAAAATACTCATAAACATGTATTAAAAAAAGTGCTAATAGTGATTATAGGTAAGCTTAGTTATTATAAAATGCCCGATGTTGTTGTCATTATTGCATAACAAAAACAGACTAGTGTAGTAAAACAGCATTTTCTTACTTCTTTTGGTACACTTTGGAAAGGAAATTGACCAATATATGCAAAATGAATATAATTTTATACTTGTATAAAACAGCTAATTGTCTGATCTATTTCAAGAATGTATAGAATGACTAAAGAAGTAAATATAATAATTATTGCAATAATTATTGTAGCTAATTTGTGAAAATTTCTGAAAACAAAATAAGGATACAGTAGAGCAAATGCAGGAAAACCATGAAACAAAATCAAACTAAATACTAACAAATAGCGACTATTTAGAGGCAAAATTAATTGTCAGTATCAATGAACCAGAACACAATTAAGATGAATCCACATGGGACCATTTTCAATTCATCTCGATTGCATTCTGGTTCACCAAGATACTGACAATTTTGTCTCTAAATAGCTGCTATTTGTTAGTATTTAGACGTTTGATTTTATTTCATGGTTTTCCTGCGTTTGCTCTAAAGCCTTGACCACAAATTACAGTCAAATTAGTTTTGACTTTCAAACAAGCAAATCTATTTTGTTCAAATTAACAATGAATTTTTTTTGATCGCTCCTGCTATATTAGTTGTGAATTGATTTTGTATGCTGTGCTTGTTGCTGTACATTGTTATAATATTGTGTATGGAAGAATAGATGTTAGAGTGGTTTCACTTTGCCTATCAAAGACACTGATTGAGGTGTCACTCTAATACAAATTGATCATGTATTAAGTGAACACTTATTTATATTATAAACAAAGTCTACTAGTCGATATATGGTGACATTATCGTTGACCTATCATAGGAAGTAGAAAACATAATAATCCAAAGACATGTTCATTTTGTTCTTATTCAAACAGTAATTATCAGATAACTTTTTATTTCGTTTTTGTGGGTGACCGATATAAAAACAGTCAAGTGAAAAAGAAACTATTATACGTGTATGYATTAGTGACCATGATCTATTTAACAGATTTAATAATGATTATTATTATAACTGATTTATTCATCAGCTTCTGGTCTGTTATTGATATTGTTTATTAGATTTTTTCTTAGTATAGCTGTGTTTTCTTTCATTTTTTGAATTTCTTTAAGTTAATAATTAATCGTTATATTTGTATAGATATAGGTAAGAAATAGGTAACTATTTGTATAGCRAAATGTTTAGGTATGCTGAAGATATGCAGTCTGATATGCTAAAACGTGTACATAGTTTTGCAAAAWTTCTGAAAAAGTCTACAATATTTTCATATACATTTATTGTAATAAATAGTATTTGACGTATAAACTAATATTTAGCTATATCTACTGTTTTTAAAGATTGGTATTAATCACAGCCTGTTCCAATAATTTACCTGGCATAATTATGGAGTTGTTCAGAATTTTTGCAAAAAGCTGTATGTCATGTAGTTCTATTTTATTGAAAATAAACAGGATATAGCATAGTTATAAATTGATTTGGTTGCAACTATTGATCATACATTGATTGTACATTGATATAAATTATGATCCATAATGTAGATTATTTAAATGTGTTCAGAATTTTTTAATTGCATATTGCAAGCAAGTTTTAAATTATGTGACCTGGCCCATGCTGATTATGCTGAAACAACTGTACATATGACAAAATTGATTGTAATTGAATCTTTTTTCTCTTGGTGTGCAACCCTATTAGAGTTGTGTATGACTAAACATTTGCTTGTACCATTGCATGCATTGTCATACATGTAAAGTGTATGCACCTAATCTGAAAAGATACTAGACAAGTTTGTTTTTTTTTCTGTGTGCTCACTATATGCAATTTTGATAATTTGTAGAATTACAGCATCAAACAACCTGCGCACATAGAGAGGACATGTATGTGGTATATATAGAGGCTATTATATGGGTACACRGAGATATGGACTTTATCTTCGAGYGTTGCAAGATCTTCGAGTGTTGAGARATTTTCAGCACGAGAAGATAAAATTTGTATCTTCAAGCAAAAATGTAATATTCTGTTTATCATATAATTAGTATACATATAAAGGCAAATTATGTCATAAAATACCTATTTTCTTACTTCTACTATATAGAGGAAATATTCACTAGTCAAAATAACATCTTTACAAAATGGAGAAAAAATAGGTATTGATAATTATATGATAAATATAAATATTCCTTAAAAGGGCCATCCCACAATATGATAACTTGCCCCATGAAATGGAATCCAAAATCGGAGAAAATTTTGATTCTGGAACTTAGAATCCACACTTGGAATTTGAAATCTGTGGTAATGGAAAACAGGAGGAATTCTGAATCTTAACAATTTTAAATCTTTCCAAATTTATTGTAAACAAGTCACCTATGACAAAAAGAGATAAGATCCTTTGCATTTTGAACCCATTAAAWAAAATCATGGAATTAMAAATCTAGGAGCTTGGAGTCCAGATTGCATATCATGGGGCAAGATTACAAAGCATTCTATGCAGCAATGCAACTACTAGATGCCAGATTACTAGATTCGAGTGTCAGGACAGTCATTTTTGGTAAATTTTTAATCAATGAGACACATTGTAAAGTGCATAATCTATTGACTTAAATTATGTATTTAGTAGTTTTATATAAACAAATTGAATAAATGCAAATGAATTTCTTCCTTTTTTCCATTTTTATATGTCAGGGGACTAAATGCCAGGGACGTTTGACCATGAAAACGACAGGAAAAGTAATTGAAGTTTGTTAACCTCCAAAAATCAAATTGAGCTTTCATCAGGGACCTACATTTTGAAGCGAAGAGCCTCTCTTATGAAATTTCACCATTCGAAAAAAATTGTGTAAAAACTGAGCGTGAATGATTAAAATTGAAGCATTTTTGCGAAGTCTTTGGGATTTTATTGATAATATAGCCGACCGTGTGTGCGGTAAAAAYGTCTTGGATAACGCCGCAAARCGCTGGAGATGACATTTCCGAGAGTTATTATTTCAAAAATTTCCGAAGAACCCACCTAGTACCCCATCGCCGCTATTACCAACCCCGCCCCCCGCTCCAAATATTAAAATTCTCGGTCCGCGGTCGCTGTTTATGGTCGGTTATTTATTTTTATCAAGAGAAAATACTGGAAAAAAAAGAACACAACCTTTCAAGGATTCGAACCCATGAGCTCTTTTTATTCCCTTTACCAATTACAAGACAGCTAATTTAGGAACTTATGCAGGGTATTTGCATGCGTTCTTTCTTACTTCATTTCTCTGTTAACTTCCGGTTTATTCCCGCCAAAACCTAAACGCGCGCGCACTTTGGAAACTGCCAAAAGCTGCCACGACTGATAGGGATTGAGGTAGCTTATTACGAGAAAACAAAAGAAATGAGTGTCTTAAACGACTTATTTCAACAAATACTTCATTCAGAAGAGCGTGTCCGTGAACGTTTTTCAAGAATTCGCTCTGGTGAGTTTGCTCTCGACTCTTTTATAGTATTTGAAATGTCGAGACAGATAAGCCTTGTTCTTTCRCAGTAAACAAAGATATTCAGCTCGTTCAAACGCAGATTCAAGATGGAAAAAGTGAACTCAAATCTCTTCAAGGAAGTCTTGTTATCAAAAATCAGCGTTTGGCAGAAGAAGAAGAGAAACTGAGGTCGCTGCAAATCCGAAAAATTATACTAGATGACCTGAGAGCCGAACTAAACAAAAGCAACAATGAACATCAGTTACAGCTTGTAAGTAAATTTATTGCTTWGTTGCTGCGCTTCAAGACTAATATTCCCCATTTATCCATATAAACTGTTCACTTCTAGGAGAGGTTAAACATTGTCACGGAAAGTGAAAGGTAAGCTTAAATTATTTGATATAAGCTTATTGTGGGAATTTTAACAATGCTATTCCAAGCTTATTTACTTAACAGATGCAAATTTATAAATGCTGTAAAAGAGTTTATGGTTTGTCATGATCTTTCTGGTAACGGATCAAAGAAAAGAGAAGAGTTGRCAAAAACTAAGATTGACCAACTAAATCAATTGGAACTCGAACTCAAAAAGGGTAAGGGTAAGCTTAAGCTTATAAAAAAAGCGCCATGTTTCTCTTGACAAACAATTCAAAAATTCTACTGCAAACAAAACATGCTGTAAAATATGCTTTATATTGCAGAACTTGATAAATTAAAAGTAAAAGAACAAGAAATTCTTGCTCTACGAAATAAGCGAGAGACTCTTATTCAGGAAGAAAAGAGCTTGATCAACAAAGATAAAGGTTTTTATACTCTCATTTCATTCTTCATTTGTTTCCCAGTTCATTTTTGTATGTAACATTTACTGGTAACTGTAGAAGCTTGTGCTGCATACAAAGAATGCAGACAGAAGACTCAATCTCTAGAGCAAGGAAAAGAAATCATGTCAAAAAAACCTCAACATGATCAAGAGTTTCAAAGGTAGCCTTAAAATAAAGCTCTCATAAATATAAATAAGAAAAAACTGTAAAAACTTCTCAGTCTATAAAGCAACAAGTAGCCATTCCAGTGTTGCGCAGGGGACTGGGCACTAATCAAAGAAATATTGATCTAATATTTATCTCATTAATTGAATATTTGTCCAAATGATCTGTAACTTGGAACCTACACTAAAGTTGATAAAGTGATATGGTATTTAGTGATTTGGTTAGTTTTTCGATTGGCTCAATATGACAGAAATTACAATTCATTTCATAACTACGGAATGGCTAATACAATGCACATACACCATGGCCACATGCACTTCTGCATGTTCTCTTTCCTACAGCTCTTTGGTATCTATAGCACAAGATTCCATGCAGACCATTGAAGCGCACCATGGATTCTGTGGTCTACTAGCATGTGAATCAATGAAATTCTAAATTATCTTATAAATATCGAAAAAAGACTATATTTATACATTATATAGGGTTGGCGAATAGTCTGGTCTTGATTTTTTTCAATAAAGAAGTCTGAGTCATTCTCACAGGAAAAAATTCTGGTCTCCCCATCCTGCAAAATCTCAAATTCACTATTCACCAGCCTTATAGTTTTAGGAATATCGATGAGTCTAAGAAGATTTTAGCCAATATTTCCACTCATTACTWTAGCTTTACTGTAGATTAAGTGCAGAGCTGGAGGCAGCCAAAGATGGTAGCATGGAAGGTATATGTGAGGCTCTGAAACAGGAGCTAAAAGAGCTTCAACAAATCTATTTGAAAAAGCAACTRCAAAAGCAGAAACRCTTACAGCAAAAWCAGCATGRCAAGGTACAGTAATGATGATTCAGTAAAAAAACATATCAATAATTCACTTAACACTCATTTGATCCCTTTCATTTATGTCAATTTTTATCGAATACACTTCATTATAATAATTAATTACATAAAGTAATATTGATTTACTGATGTTCACTGTATTAGGTCATTTATAACCAGAATCAGGGCATGCAAAAACAAAGATGTTCAAAAAGGTAAATCGATAAATACTACATCCCAACATGGCTGCCTCATTGTTGTGATTTTGACAAACATTCTGTTAGAATAACATTGTAGAGGGTGCTAACTATTATTATGCATCAGAGCGATCAGAGTAACCATGTATTATTGGGTCTAACTCTCTTATTTGTTATTCAGAGTCACTTGATCCATAACTTTCCTCCATTACTAAGCCTCTGCATCKTGCTGCTGCTTCAATTGCTGAYGAAAAAGCTCTGCTAGGGCATGACATAACATCATCTTTGATACTTGCATCTTTAACTCCAGGCTTTTGAACAATCCCACTTGGTTGTAAAGGAATCTTGGTCACTGTGTTTTCACATCCAGCATTTCTGTAATAGCTAACATAACCATCCTTATCTTTGCATCTAGCTTTGCCATTTTCTTTACAGAGCTCAGTACTTTCAAACATACTCTTTTCATCAGCCTTCCCTTTGGTTGGTTTTACAAAACCAGCTTCCGTTATCAAAGGATCTTTTGTTTTTGTATGCAAGACATTTTTTAATTCAACTAAAAGATGTTTGCTTTCTTCACGACTTTGACTTTCCTTCTCTAATTCCTCTCTTGTTAGCAAGGGAGTGTTGCTTTCATCATAGTCAGACATATCAGTGAAAGCTTCAAACACACAGTCCCCAATKTCTTTTTGRTTTTCTTTATTGTGATCATTGATTTGCAGTAAATTTTCTATTTGACCCTCATCCTGATTTCTCTCTTCCAAGTTTGTACTAGAAGGTTCAGCTGATTCATTTGATTTTTTCAAACAACTGTCACATTCTTCCAAACAACTAATAATGCTATCAAACTCCATTTTTAATCCTGCATTAGTCGCCTCAAGTTTTGTAGTTATATCTTGTTCCTCAAGCAATGATTCTTTGTTTTCTTCTGTCATTTCAGGAATTAAGAAAGAAGCTATTGACTGAGTCCKGGTTAAACAAGCCTTTAAATGCAGCTCTARGCTGTGAATTGCAGTATAGTATCTGCTCCATTTACTTGGATTGGTGGAAACTTGATGTGTGCGAACTTCATTTTTTGTTTCATCATTACCAGAAAAGGTTAATGAGCTCTTATGAACATGGTAACTTAACTGCAAAGACTTCAAAACTCCATTTACTTGGTTTAGTTGATTGGCAAACCTTACATGCATCTTTTYAAGGCTTTCTCTGGTAACAAGACAGGTTTTGGATTCAACCTTTGCAATTTCMGATAAGCCCAGAAGATACCTGCTTAATAGTTCTGATTGCTGAGATGCAATTAATGACAGAAAAAGTTTTAAATACTGCAGTGAAAGYTTCTCAGTGTCACAATAATTGTCAACACCAAACTCTTTAAATGGATTTTCAGAGATGCATGTAAACACAYTGTTTACTTCCGAAGCAAGRGGACTTTTTGATGCAATATCTTTTACTAATAAACAAGATGGCTGTAGTAGGTCCATACCATTCTTTAATAAGCACTGTCTTAACAAKGGATATATATCAGTTTTATAATTTTCATCCCTTTGTTGTGATCCCAAGTTCAGTCCAAATCCAACAAGAGTATAACCTTTAGATATTAATTCTAGTTCTTGAATAAGTAATATAGATTTTCTGAACACCATAAGAAAAGCCTTCATCTTATCAACATAATCTGATAAAATCTTCACATTTTGATTGTGTAGCCATTTGATATGTTGTATTTTCCAAAAGAAGTAAGCAATGCAGCCAATTATCAGAAACAACGCAGAAAATAAAACACTATTTAGATATCTCCAGAAGCTATTAGATAAAAGTACAGCAATTAATAGTAACAAAAATGCCATACCGTTATCACGAGCCCACRCACTAATAGAACGCACATAATTGTACAGCTTGGTTGAAATCAAATCATGCTTCACATCAGAATTAGAAATGTCAAACAACTCTGGGTCAAACTGATGCAAAAATCCCACATCATCCTCGYTCATAATACCAGAGGAAAATGCAATCGATACGTACTCYTTGCGAAGTTGAAGGGATCGGTCAATATCAGGAGAATACAATTTGTTTATAAATGAGAGTAACTTGTCTGTCAAGCTTGGTCCTTGGCTGCTGTGAAYCGTTTCACTTCCTCTAAAAACATGCTCTTCAAGTTCATTGTTATGTTTAGTACTTTCTAGCTCGTAATCAACGAATCCTGCATCCTTTAAATACTTTTCCAAAGGAGAATTCTCAAATATGACATCTTCATCCTCGTCCGCCATTTTGTTCTTGCAAGAATATAGTTGGGCCTCCTGTGGAAGTGCAGCCAGGCCTTGGCTTTGTAACCAAGTTTTGTCAGACACCGCGATCAAACGTTTGCGCATGCGCGACCTCTAAAATCCAAAATGGCGGCCAAAACCACGAGGAAAGTTCGATTACGAGCAAAACTATTGGGAATTTATGCGGTAAAATGACATCAAAACAAACATTTGTGCTTCCCAAATGAAAGATTGATTTATTTTCTCTTCATTTCAACGTTAAAGTAGGTTTTGTTTAGAGTAAAGGCACCGTTTACGCTAAGTTAATACAATCAAAGCGATGCGAATTGTAATGAACAGACATTGAAATTAGGCGAAATTTTCGGTTTAACATTGACGAGAAACTCTTCGAGGTGATTCACAGGTGTCATGCCAACCAAAGCACCAAAAGCCCTTCCGTGATCGATATGTGGGTGACTATCAATCAAGTAAACACAATTGTTTTGTCCAACAAAACACACTGTCATCCCATCGATGATAACAAGAGCTGCTAATGGACGTTCAAGAACGAGTCGTTGCAAATAAAAACTCAAAGAACTCTGAGGCACTTGAGGATTCTCGCATGTAAAGGTGACATCAAAGGTGTCTTCTAATGTAACTGGAGAAATAACTGCTAAAAGATGGTTTCTTGCATCAGCAACACTAAAGAATTGGTTAGAGCCTTGAGTGACAGCATCATATAGCTGGTTGCCTCTGGCCATAGCTGACAATAACAATGTTAACCAATACTGATTTAAATCACCATTACGGCCAAGCTGAAGATGTTGATATTGTGCAGAATTTGTGTACAATTTCGCTATCAATAAAGCTATGAATGTGCAAGCATTGGATCCATTTCTTCCCAAAATTGTGGCCTGGGATGCATTGGCTGGTAAGAAAATCAACAATGAATTCCCAATGGACATTTTAGCAATTGTGATGTTCAAAGCAACTGGCTGATTTGGATTGTTAGTACTTGGCTGATTTGCTGATTGTGATGTATGGTTAATACTGGGCTGCAGAACTGAGAAACTGTTCAACTCTCTGTCAATGTGTGACTGCCATTGGTTGGATAAATAATAGGATGGGTCTCTATGATTCACAGAGATAGTGTCTTCTTCATCGTCATCATTATCATCATCTTCATCATCAGAGTTATCTTGATTTTTCTTCGATTGAGTTGTTGGTTTCAGTAAGCTTTCATTGAAACTATCTGCTAAGTTATTCACTCTTTTACTGAGGTTATCTGTGCAGATTGGACAGGATTGTCGTGAATTTTGGAAACAAGACTTGTGGATGGTATGATAACAAGGCAGTCTAAAGGCTTGAGCTGCTTGGTCTGTAACATCACAAAGAGGACTGTCACAAAGTTTGTGTGGGTCTGGATCTTTACCTGGTGCATCTTTGGAATCAAGGTAGGCAAATGGCATTGCTTTTGTGTCTACAGTGGCATCAAATGTATGCATGTAGTATTTTTTTACAATGCCCTTCTTCTTCTTTTGTGTGTCATTGTTCTGGTCAATCTAAAGTAGTACAATTGAAATTAACAATTTTAGGTTATTTGTTGTAGTTTTGCCACGTTAATGCAAGCACCAGTAATAATAATTAGTATTAATGCCATACCTTTTCTGATTTACCCAGGTTTTGACCAATGGCTTTTATGGTAGACAGAAGTACTTCTGCAGATTTTCCAGCAATCATACTTAAGTCTTTTTCTGTGCAACCACGTTTGTATGGCTTGAGAAACTGTGCTTGAAAGTCTTGTTCAGATTTTGATGCAGCCAGAGCTATTGCTTTTGATTGTATTTGGTCAGCCTTGTCATAGACTTGGATGTTATGCCTCAGTACACTGTGCCAGATCTCTACTTTTTTTTCGGTAATTAAAGTCATCCAATATTTTTTCAAGTCATAATATTTTTTTAAATTTTCTTTATGGTGCCATAAGTCACTAAGCATTGATAATGTTGATTTATGATAGTGTTTCCTTTTCCAAACAATGAACAATACTAAAAGTCTCAACATTACTTCAACATAATCAGAAAGTACTCCAGATCTGTATACAAGGGAATAAAAACAAAATCCAATTGGCATTGCTTCTTCAAGCATGTGTAGGATGCATGAAAACTCTATATCTTTGCAAAGTTTAAATTTTTGTAGCACTTTTGATCTTATTTTCAGCCATCCCAAAAACACGGCATTGATTAAAATGTTAATTCTGTATGGTTTGGGCTTGAGTGGCAAGTCTGAGCCAAAAATTTCCTTGTAAATAGGCTTGAGTATGAAGTGGTACATTTTAACAATATCCTCTTGAAGATTTAGAAACACATGAAATGGACCTTGCTCTGGAATGATTGAATGAAGACTTAAATTACTGCGCTGTGCTATCAGTTTCTTCTGATAGAACCATGTTGGCCAGTCTCCAGGTGTCGGTAAAACAAAGTGTTGGAGATAATTTTTTAGATTAGGGCATTTACTCAAAATGTGTGTTAATGCCTTCTCATAATCCTCCATGCTTTTTAATGGTTGTTCAAATTCATCGATGAGTGTTGTTGTTTGTAATGTGCACATTTCATCATGGGATAATTGAGAATAAACCCTACACAAATACAATTGTTGCTGTTAGTGTTAAACATAGGTTTGGTTTGGTTTAATTTTATATCAAATAATTTAGTGTCTATGAGAATATCATTTTAATTATTCATATTTGAGCCTGTGAGGTGCTGGAATTGTTTTGCATGTATACCGTACCTTAATTCTTTAAGTTGGTGTTGAATTTTTGTTGGAGTTATTAAGAGCACTCTTGGAAAGCATTCAAAGAACATTTGATGCCTTTTCTCTTTATAACTATCTAACAATTTTTTGATGTTTGTTTTGCTTATCCCGCCTCTGCACTCCTTTTCAACTCCAGCAACTTTTATTTTGACAGTGTTGTGTTGGATGCCCTTTTTTAGAGGTAGTTTCACTGCAGGAATTTTCTTATGTATATCAAGCAGACTGCTTGCCATATGAGTGGCTACTGAGAGCTTCAATTCTGAAGGAAGTCTTATAGTAAGAATGTTGTGGAAGTCGTCCAAAAGGTTAACCATTAGATAGGGTCCCTAAGAAAATAGAGTATACAGTAGTTATCATGTGATGTAATTTGTATACCTTTTTATGTACATTGTAGTTTAATACCGTAATAGCAGATTCTAATCTTTGTTTGAGAACAGAAGGATAATTTCGGATAAGTTGGAGCTTGTGTCGGTCTATATCTCTAGGGCTTGTGCTAAAACCAAGGACTCGTCCTGAATTCAGTGCTACCCTTGATGTCCCATGCTGTTGTAAAAACAGACCTTGATCTTTTTGTAAGTGACAGGTTTTTTGTGATCTGAAATACAAATATTGTTGTGTATGTAATACTTGCAATAAATTTCATTATGTATTTGTTTTCCCTAATATTTGGCATAATAATGCTAGTGATTTACCTAAAATAAGCAAGTATGTGTAGCAGGACAACTGCTCTTTGCTGCTGCATTTTTGTATGATCTTCACTTAGACGGCTGTCATTCCTAGAGATAGCTTTTATGATAATATCCCACAACCCTGGTGCATGCTTCTCTGAAAAAGCCATCATTTGCTGACTGTTATATATTGAGGTTTTAGTGTGGTAAAGGGCCATCTGGAATTGTTGAACCAGTTGTTCAAATGAAGTTGTACTACCTGCAAGACAATAATAATATGTTATAATAAACAATAAACTCTATGATATATTATTAATGCAAATTTATATTGAAACTTTACCTAAGCTATTGTTTTGTTCTTCCAACTCTACCCAAGTTGAGCTATCAATAGTAACCCTGCCAATTCCAAATGTTTTCTCATTTTGGACTTGGATGCCAAACATCTGTGCTAGATTTTGAAGTCTATGAATAAGTTTGCTAAATGTGGCTTGTGTATGGTAGAGGTTCTGATTTGATTCGGCTGTTAAGATGTTGTGCAGCTCTAGAACTGGGGAACTAGTAAACTCCCATATCTTAAATAGAAACAACCAGCAATAAAAGTATATTTATCAACCTCATATTAATGTCATCATCAATGTATACCCTAACATTTATGTGAAAGAGTATTTCTATTTTTGGCTGTTATGTAACCTCTCCAGGAGTCACAGCATTGAGATTCATGAAATTATAACCCTAAAACAGATCAAAACATCAATTTCAAATCCTAAACGAGATGACAAGCACCCCTGCCTTCTTATACAAGGGAATTTTTCACGTTAAAATTTGACTGATGTTTCTGGATGTAAACAAACACAAAGGCATAATTATATAACCACTATCTATAAAGACATCATAAGAAGTGGACACAGCACTTTCATTATAAAACTCGCATACATTTGAATCATTTCTTCAAAATAATTTTCATGGTTAGTTTTATTGTCAAACCTTTCTCAGTTGTTCTGGACTTGACATTGTCGTGGATGAYTKGGAATTTGTCACGCATTCTGCACTCTATAATTACATTTCATTTKCATCAAAAATTGCAATAAGGAATATTAAAGTTAATGATTTAAGTTACATTAAAGAGACTAAATGTGTACTGCTTTGTTTCTTTCTCTCTTTTTTCACATATATGGAAATTATGAAGTGTTTTTTCCCTTCGATTTAATAAGTGATCACAAGTGCGTTACGGAAGTAATGCAATCATTCTGCGCAGAAGTAAATATATCGCTCGAAAAGTACCAAAACTACTAGAGATATGAAGTATATGGGGCTGTTTGTATTAAGAAAAATGTTAGTTCTAAGATGAACTAGCAAAAATGAAATATCAAACAATTATTCCGCAATTTACCTGTATTGTTGGATGCCTCAAACTAGTTGTTGTGCGCGCTGTTTGCAAGTCTTCGTCTTTGAAGCGCTCGCTCGCGGTACTTTTGCATCTGTTGCACCATCTCGTTCCAGGTCGGTAATGCGAGAATTTGGAACCAATTCTATCGAATATGGGGTAGTAGCGTCTAGGAACTCTATTTTCGTTTAATTTTGAATGTTTAAAACCTTGTTCTTGCGGGCACGAACACCGAAGATTGTCTCTCCTTGCTTCGTCCCAGTGGTATCGACACAAGTAACTATGCTCTGGTAGTTGCGTTACACGGCTTATTTCGGCATTTACCTTGTACAGTTTTCCTCGGCAATCATTCCCAGTTCTAGTTTTCCCGGCTTTCATGCATGAATGACATGAATTGATTTTTTC